GGGGCTGAGGGCTGTTTTCAGGCTGACCACACCCCCTTCAGGGTGTGGGTCCCCACTAGGGTGCCTGGCCAGCCTGGGTGAGGAGCTGAGGGCTTTTTTCAGGCTGCCCACAGCCCCTTCAGGGTGGGGGTCCCCACTGGGGTGCCTGGCCTGCCTGGGTGAGGGGCTGAGGGCTGTTTGCAGGCTGGCCATGGCCCTGGGCAACCCAGGCTCCCAGACCCTCCTTGAGCGGAGGCCACAGCAGCTGGAAGCAGGTATCTGGGATTTATTTATCTTCTATAATTGAAACTTTGTAGCCTTGAGCAGAGCCCACAGCCCACCAGGCATGCAGGAAGCCTGGCTTTCTCCATCGCCAGGGGCAACCCAAGCCTCCTGTTTGCTCCAGCTCCGTGGCCACCACCATCTTGGTTGGGTTTATTTGCATACTCGCTCCTGATTGGCTGGTGGGCATGGCTGGTGGGCGTGGGTGGGAGTATAGTGGAGGGACAGTCAATTTGCATGTTTCTCTTTTATTAGATAAGATTATAGTGGTCCAGGTAGTGGATGAATTAGAATAAAGAGGTAGAAAGTTGAGAATGGGTTAGAATCTGGATATAGTCAGAAGGAAAAGACAGACAAGGCTTATGGATGGATTAGATAAAAGGTGGAAAGTGGAAAGAAATATAAGATGAATCCAAGAGGCTTGGCTGGAACAATAAGAAAACTAAAGGTACTGAGAAGAGAATCCAAAAAGCACAACATCATTTTTTCCCCACAAACATCTTACTTATCACAAGATTTTTCATAAAATTTAAATTAGAATTGGAAAATGAATGTCTATACGACATATCATTTATTTATTATCTTTATTAATAATAATGAGAAGAGAAAACAAAACTTTTTTTTTCCTGAAAAGAGCAAAACTTTCTCTCTAAAACAAAGGTATGAGTAGCAGGGTTAGTCTCTGAGAATGGGTCTCCATACTTGGTCCACATGGAATGTTTCAGTAAATTCTAGCGCAGAGAGCATTTTTATCTTAATTCCTGTGTTATAACCTGGAGGGATCCCAATATTCTTAGAAAGTCATGGGTGCATCATGGTAATAATGGGTGTGAATGTTATTTGAGGTTTTGAAGCTCCTGTCAGCCTAGTGCTATAAAGACAATAAGTGAGAAAGGGCTGACAGAACCAGTGAATGTGAGGGCATCTCAAGTTGGTAACATAGCTGATAACTGTTACCAGAGTGGGATTGGGTGGAGCAAACTACACTCATTTTATGAGAGAAGCAATTGACACTAATATTTTTAAACTAATAAAATATCAATATTAAAATATATTCAGAATCTTCATTTTTACCAGTGCTTCATACCTACAGATGGGATTTAAAAACACACACACACACACACACAGGGACAATCATAAAGCAAATCCAAAAATTAGATTAAAAAAAATTGAATGTGAGCCTGGTAGACATACAAGGCTGGCTTCTCTGTCAATGTCCTATTTGATGTCCTCAACTCTGAATTAATTTCCCTTTTGTATGACTACTTTATTGTCTTTTTTGGGATCCACCTTAAAAGTGACTTCCCATTTCAATCTTACAACCAAAATCTCATTCTACCCACTACTGTACACTGTGACTCTTCAAATCTGCCTTAATTTTGACAGTTCTTGTGGTGCGGCATATTTATTTCAGGTGTCTGTCTTAATAGAGTTTTCAAAGTGAGCTTCTTTTACAGCAATGGTTTCACCAACAGACCAACTGTTACTGACATCTCGGCCTTCGGAAACCTGTTTTGGGAGTGTTCTTTCACTCTTGCACTAGAGAAGAGAAATAATTTGGAAGCATTGTTAGCACCCTCCTGGATCCATTTGTCCTACATGCACTTCATAGAAACAGATTTTAAATGACTGTTGCAAATCACCAACATTTTTCAGTAAATGTAAACATTCATTTTTTTTTTCTGAGTTGGAAACATTTCAAAGAATTCAGAGTTTGTGTATATAACAGATGGTTCAATTTGGTCTACAGAGTTCAGTGTATCTAGGGGTAATTGGTCTTGAAAAGCAAGGTAATAGGACTGAATTGCAACTGAGTATTACACATAAATAAAACATACCTGTAAAACTGTTCAAAGCGGTACTTAATTGTTCCACCTGGACTAGCACACAACAGTTGAAAGTGTTCTGATAGCACCATTTGTCTCCTAACTCACTTAACATTGGCTTTTTGCAGCTTCAGATCATATTTGTGCAAACGCAACCAAGGTTCAGAACTAACACAATTTTCCACAACTTTCTAGTGAACAAATGAAAGAAGGCAACTCATAGCTAGACAGTTTAAAGATACAGAAAGTCAATTAGCTGCATCATCTTATTGCTACCTTCATTATAAGAAATAGCAATGAGAGATTGCTTTATGCTTATATAGTTCCTTTTATTGTTTTTGGTACTCTCATACCAGCGGATATACAATTTACAGCTTCAAATGGTGGATTTTTGTCAAAGGTTAAAACAGACTAATACCAATAGAATCACATAGTCAAGATACTCAGGATCAATGAATAACTAAAAATTTTATGAGGATTTTAGTTGCTTTTTGAGTGCATTATTGAATCTGAAACTTGTAATAGTCCTGTGAGATAGGCTAGATCTTGCCTGCTGTTAATAGATGGACAGTTAAATCTCAGAGATGTCATCTACCTAATGTCACCCAGTGCCCGATGGCAGATCAAACTTTAAACTTCATAGATTTTTATTCCAAATACAATGTTCTCAGTCCAGACCTCACTGACTTCTCAAAATAAAAAAAAATAGTAATAATTTCAAATGGTAAGATAAAATCCTCTTTCTTTTCTCAGTAGTTCAAGAGACTTTTGTGGTTTAACCAGTCTAGGAAGTACAATGAAACATTAATGAACGAACTATGAGAGAAGTATTAGAAATAGTGAAAATGGTGAAAACATTATGAAGTGATCTTTAGAAGAAAGTTGAGTGCAAATTCTAAAAGTATTATGCTACATTTGTCAGATCAGTTATTTCAATTCATATGTAGGAGATTAACTTCACTCACTTCCAGGTTCACAACCACAACTCATGATCAATTATCAGCCAAGTGGGAGCCTTTGATCCTTCGATGGAAAGTGTGTCTATTGTTCTCAAAAAAGGCTGTGTGAGAACAGTGTGCAGTGAAACAGGCAGCAGCCAGAGATTCAACTGGGCCTGGGTTCCTTCCAATCCTGTCTCCTCTACTTAGCAACTTAGTAAACTTGACCCAATCATTACTTAAACAATATTGCCTCTCACTTTTCTCAACTATAAATCAAAAATAATAGTACCCACCTAAAACAATTGCTTTGAATACAAAGATGATATGTGTAAAGGTTAAGAACAATGTCTAGCACAGAACAAGCAATTATAGTTGCAGTTGTTGACTTTGTATGCAAAATAGAAATATCAGACTGTAGTAGGGCAGCTGGCATAATCAGGTTTTAAGGGTGTCACGATTTGTTTTTAAAAAGAAAGGAAAGGAAAGAGATGCAGATGTGGAGAGTACAGGCTGTAGATAATAATAGTAATGAATGAATGAATGAGGCAACACCTTGACCCTGAGACCTTTAAAGGCAGAGAGAAAAAAATAACACGAGAAAGCAGAATTCTTGCCTGGAAGGCATATAAAAAATTAAAAGTTAATTTAAGGGATATATACCTTCCTTGCCCTTTTAGAGACCATTTTATGGGAGGAATTCTTAATGATAAAATGTAGACGGCACATGTATCTGCATAAGCACACATGCATACAGGTTGCCTGGTTAATGTTCACACTACCTGCACAGCTTTCTCAAGAACCTGTTCCTGCCTACAACTTCTCTTCTCAACTTCTAGCTATTCTGTTTATTTTTATCATTAACTACCTACATAGTAAAAACAATGACATCAGATTAATGTAAAAGATTAATCCAAGAATCAAATTGTAAAGTATTACCAAGTTATTTTTTAAATGTGAAGTTCTAAATTAATTATATCTATTACAGAACTATCTCCAGAAATTGAAATTGTCTTCTTCTTTTAATATCAGCCTCTGGTACAGATGATGGCTAAAAAAAGAATCGCAAAATACTGCACTTTTTAAAAATGCACTTGATAATTCATGTGAAGGATATGAATCAAGGTCAGTGCTACCTATTCATTTGTAAGCACTACAGTTTCAATAAATTATCGCTGCTATTCAAAAGATGATTTTTATCATTGGAAAAGCTACCATTGGATCATTATAAGAAAATCAAGTCTTTATTCAGGTGAAATGCAACTTTGTTCAGTTACAAAGACCCATAAAACAGTTTTTCAAATAAAGTATATTCTCATTCCATACACAGTGAAGTACAATTAAGTTTAGTCCCTCATCCACAGCATCTACATTTAAAAGCTCAACTCTGAATGAGACTTCTCTTTCTCATTCTTCTCCACTTCATCCCTCCTCCTTCTAGATTTTGACCTCTGGGTTTTGGAACCATGCAAGATATATTGAGATCTTTTATCTAATGTCATATTTTGCAATTCATTTGTTTTCTGTTCCCATCTAGTTAAAATAGATTAGTACTTATAGATATTAAGTTACAAAGTCCAGGTCAGTGCACTAAGATATTTCAAATCAAAGCAGGCAGCTAAATCTTTATTTTCTATATATATATAAAAGCCTAAGCAAACCATTGCAACAGAAAGACTGGAAAGATCAGTCGCTATGACATGCACTGACCACCAGAGGGGCAGATGCTCAACACAGGAGCTGCCTCCAGCCTGCAGGCCCTGATCACCGATGGGTCCTGCAGGCCAACCTCCTGGTCCCTCCCCCCACCCGGGCCCCCAGACTGGGATGGGGAACCAGGGGTGGGTGGCAGCAGACACAGCCCCTTTCCCAGGGGTGCCGATGGCCGGCTCCCTCTTCGGGGACGGCAGCCAACCTCCTGGTCCCCCTCTGTTCCTCCCCCTGGCTGGCTGGCCCTGATTGCCCCTTCCCCCACCCGCTGTGGTGGCAGTTGCCCCCCCAACCCCTGGCCAGCAGGCCCCAATTACCTGATTGGAGCTGGGCCCCAGGCTGGAACATGGAACTGGGAGTGGGTGGTGGCAGACTAGGGTGGTGAGGGAAGGAGAAGGGGGGAGGGGGAAAACTGATTGGCCCTTATTGCTGGCCAGGCCTAGGGATCCCAGCGATGCATGAATTTTGTGTGCCAGGCCTCTAGTATTTAAATAATTATTTAAAGATTGCATCACAGGCATCTTGAGAGTTTATTTAGTTTATCTTTTGCATCTTAGGCAAAATTATTGTAGTAGTTAAGCAAATATTCAAGTTTTACATAGAATTTAATAAAATCTTCACATCTGCACATCAGCTTCAACATAACTTATGAATATAGTTTTATCCTTCATATATGATATTTCTGAAATTTTATTTCCTAAAAACTTTCATCAAACAAATGACAGTATGAAATATCTTTTTTAATTTAACTGGATACAAAGACTATGGCATTTTGTTGAATTTATTTCTTTAATGTGGATGAAGATAACATCTGTGCATGCTGACACATTTTTTGAGTAGTCAGTCTAATCAACACCTTTTAAAATTAAAATAAAATTTAGTCATCAAATAAAATAAAATCTAAATTGCCTAGAAAACTCTGGACTTACAGGTGACTAGCCAACAGGTCATATACAAATTTCATATTCAGCTTTTTAAAGTTGTAAATTGAAGAAAACTAATTCAAATTACTTGAGGAAAATCTGTTACTCTGTTTATGTCAAAAGTTGTGAGCAAGACAACTTAATAGAAATTGGATGCATTGCTATATTGCTGCAAGCTACTTTAGTTACAAAGCTGAACAGATATTTAATTATAAGTTCTAATATGAATATTCTCATGACACAAGGAAATTATAACTTAAAAAATTCAGGCATAGTAAGGAAATAAGGGATAATAGGAAACAAAAGCAAGGATTCTTCAAAAATATGACTATTTACCTTATAATTAACAAAAATATAGATCTAATCAAATATTTTATATGAAGGTATTAAATGTTTGTTAAGTCACTAAACAGTATATCCTTTGGGAAGATAATGAACAAATTTATTAACATTTCTATGTTATAGCCTCTATGGATATAATAGTGTTCCACATGATGTAAGCTGGCCTCAGTGATGAGCTGCAATTCTCCTGCTAGAGCTAAAGAGAGGAGAGCACTGTTAGATGACACAGGAGGAGGGTATACAAGCTGCTCAGGAAGGAAGCTGCTTCTTCGGCAGCTAAAGGGGAGCCCAGTCAAGCCCTTGTGACTGCCCCAGATAGCTGCTCACTCTCCAGAACCAAGCACTACTGCCCAATGGAAGCACTGAGGAGAAACAAAAATTTTATTAGTTCTGATTCTTTTTCAAAAAACAAATTGTTATTCATGATCATTAATGGGTAACATTAAAATTTAGTGTATTGCGGAGAGACCAAGATGGCGGCATAGGTAAACACCGGAGACTGCTGCCGCAAACAACCACTTCAAAAATACAACTAAAAGACGGAACGGACATCACCCAGAACCACAGGAAGGCTGGCTGAGGAGAGACTCTTCAACTAGAAGGAAAAACAACAGCACAACGAGGCTCAGAGGAGGCGCAGTGTGGAAAAAACTCAGGTGCGGAGGTGCGCGCGCAAAGCGGGCTGGTGGCTGAGAGCGCGGTTGTCGTTTTCGGTCAGGGGGGAGTCTCAGACTCTGAGCTCCAGATACGGGCGAATCGCTGGGGACTCGGACCCAAACGGGAGAAGCGGGAGTGTCTGGCATCAGTTGGAAGGCAGCTTTCCCTCCGAGGTTTGCAGCGGTTCCGGGGGTTCTGAGAAGCAGAGCCTCTGGGAACGGGACTGAGAGGGGCCATAACCGCTCCCTCCGCCCGCCCGCCCTGTTGAGCCCGCCCCGCCCAAGCCCTGCGCAGAGCCATTTGCCAGATCGCCTCAGGCAAAGGCTAGATTAGCACCTCCCCAGAGGACAGAAGTTTTCCGCGGCAGACACAGCTGATTCACACAGCCAGTCGGCCTGGTGGTCAAATCCCTCTAGTATTAACTACAACAATCAAGGCTCAACTAGAACAAGACTGCGCACAAAGACCACTAGGGGGTGCACCAAGAAAGCATAAAAAATGCGGAGACAAAAAAACATGACAGAAATGGAGGATATAGAGCTAAAAATCGCAATTTTGAGGGCTTGCAAAAATGTGCTAGAAGCTGTCAATAAACTTGAGGAGAGAGTCACGAAAACTAATGAGACCCTCGATGCTATGATAAAGAACCAACTAGAAATTAAGCATACACGGACTGAAATAAAGAATATTATACAGACACCCAATAGCAGACCAGAGGAGCGCAAGAATCAAGTCAAAGATTTGAAATGCGAAGAAGCAAAAAACACCCAACCGGAAAAGCAAAATGAAAAAAGAATCCGAAAATACGAAGATAGTGTAAGGAGCCTCTGGGACAGCTTCAAGCGTACCAACATCAGAATAATAGGGGTGCCAGAAGATGAGAGACAGCAAGATATTGAAAACCTATTTGAAGAAATAATGGCAGAAAACTTCCCCCACCTGGTGAAAGAAATGGACTTACAGGTCCAAGAAGCGCAGAGAACCCCAAACAAAAGGAATCCAAAGAGGACCACACCAAGACACATCATAATTAAAATGCCAAGAGCAAAAGACAAAGAGAGAATCTTAAAAGCAGCAAGAGAAAGAGACTCAATTACCTACAAGGGAATACCCATACGACTGTCAGCTGATTTCTCAACAGAAACTTGGCAGGCCAGAAGGGAATGGCAAGAAATATTCAAAGTGCTGAATACCAAGAACCTACAACCAAGAATACTTTATCCAGCAAAGCTATCATTCAGAATTGAAGGTCAGATAAAGAGCTTCACAGATAAGGAAAAGCTAAAGGAGTTCATCACCACTAAACCAGTATTATACGAAATGCTGAAAGGTATCCTTTAAGAAGAGCCTATGGAGGAGGACAGGGGGGGGGGAGGGAGGGGGGGGGGGGGGGCAGGAACTGGGAGGAGGGGAGTTATGAGGGGAAAAAAAAAAAAAGAGGAACAAATGTAACCTGAACAATAAAGATTTAATAAAAAATAAAAAAAAATAAAAATTTAGTGTATTGCATGTTTAATACTCCAGGACTTAATGATAGCTGTTGCAAGTCCTGCACAGGAAGAGCATCCTATATAATAAAAGTATAATATGCAAATCGACTGAACGGTGGAACAACCAGTTGGTCGGGGGTGGGGCTGGCAAGCAGGCAGTGCCAGGCCAGCCAAGGAAGGTGCCAGCAGACAAAGGGAGGGGACAGTGATGGGAGGGGAGGGTGGCAGCGAATAGTGTTGATGCAATGGTGGTGGGGCGGGGCTGTGCCAGCTGGCGCCAGCCCCTGATCGGCCCGCCTCATTGCCTCCTGCAGAGGGAGGTCAGACTGCAGCTCCCTACAGGGAGCGGGCCTAAGCCATCAGTAGGACATCCCCTGAGGGCTCCCATACTGTGAGAGGGTACAGGCCAGGCTGAGGGGACCCCCCCCCCGTCCAAGTGCACGGATTTTTGTGCACTGGGCCTCTATTCCTTTATAAAGGAGAATGACATGGACACAGCAGTCAAAGTGAATAATGAAAGGGAGTAATGTTAATGCCCAAGGTAATTAAATCCTGGCAGATAAAACTGATTCAGCCCATGAAAGCAACAAACATAAATAATAGCAATAAAACAAAACTCCACAAAAAAAAACCACCAAAAATCTCCAGATAAAGAAGCAGTTAGTGCAACTAACAAGTTGCCCCAAAGGTGTCTTTAAAAGAAAAATGTGTCGTAAGAGAGAGGAGGTTTATTTTTATTTTTTAATGAATTTAGTGGGGTGACATTGGTTGATAAAATTATATAGGTTTCAGGTATTCAATTCTGCAGTACATCATCTGTATATTTTACCGTGTTTGCCACCCAAGTCAAGTCTCCTTCCATCACCACTTTCCCACCTTTATCATCTCCTACCTCTTCCTCACCCTCCCTTCCCTCTGGCAATCACCATACTATTGCCTGTGTCCATAGTCTTTCTGTTTTGTTCATTACTAATCCCTTCGCCCTTCTTACCCAGCCCCCAACTCCTATCCCTCTGACAGCTGTTAATCTGTTATCTGTATCTCTGCGTCTGTTCCCACTTTGTTAGTTTGTTTTGTTCATTAGATTCCACAGATAACTAGTAAGTGAAATTATATGGCCTTTCTCTGACTGGCTTATTTCACTTAGCATAGTACTCTCCAGGTCCAGCCATGCTGTCACAAAGGTAAGATGTCCTCCTTTTTTATGGCTGAATAGTATTCCACTGTGTAAATGTACCACAGCATTTTTTATCGACTCATCTACTGATGGGCACTTGGTCAGCTTCCAAAACTTGGATATTGTAAATAATGCTGCAACGAACATAAGGGTGCATATATTCTTTCTGATTGGTAGTTTGGATTTTTTTGGATATGTTCCCAGAAGGGGAATTGCTGGGTCATAAGGCAGTTCCATTTTTAATTTCCTGAGGTAACTCCAGACAGCTTTCCATAGTGGCTGTAATAATCTGTGTTCTTACCAGCAGTACAAGGAGGGTCCCCTTTTTCCTCAGCAGTGCTTGTTTGTTGATTTATTGATGGTAGCCATTCTGGCAGGTGTGAGGTGATGTCTCATCGTGGTTTTAATTTGCATTTCTCTGATGATTAGTGATGAGGAGCATAATTTCACATGTCTATTGGCCATCTGTATGTCCCCTTGGGAGAAGTGTCTATTTAGGTCCTTTATCCATTTCTTAATTGGATTGTTTTTTGGTGCTGAGTTTTATAAGTTCCTTATATATTTTGGATATTAAGTCCTTATTAGATGTATCTGTGAATATGTTCTCCCATCCAGTGGGTTGTCTTTTCAATTTGCTGATGGTTTTTTGTTGTTATTGTTTTATATTTTTATTTTTTTGCTATGAGGAGCTTTTTACTTTGATGTCTCATTTGTTCATTTTTATCTTTGTTTCCCTTGCCTGAGGTGATATATCAGAAAAAAAGATTGCTATGAGAAATATCTGAAATTTTCCTGCTTATGCTTTCTAGGATTTTTATCATTTAGAGACTAACACTGAACTCTTTAATGCAGTTTGAGTTTATTCTTGTGAGGAGCTTTCATAAGAGAAGGGACTGCACTTGGAGCTTGCATAGCCCAAAACTAGAGAGCTGTTTACCAATGGACACTTGAAGAAAACGAAATGGTTGCATTTTCCTTAATCCATAACTTAGAGTAAATAACTTTTAGCATGGTTAAATGTTTCAAATATCATTTATGTTATTATACAAGTAACTTTGAATTCAATTCAATTGCTTGGATTGAATTGAAAAATTAACTGAGCATTCTTTTTCAAGCAGATAATATTCAAGATTTCTATGCTTCTCTCTGCCTCACCTTCTCCATGTTTACACAGTCATTCTTTTAAATTTTGTGTAAAGATCTTTCTTCTCAACCTTGACATTTATCTACCTTTCTGCCTCACGGGTTCCCATGTTCTCTGATACCACACTAACATGTAAATTTCAAATTTCTAACGTGCTCTTTATTTTCAACTTAAAAACACATAAAATCAGTATGAAGCTTACTGTATTCTAAATAGATCTTTTATAATGCTCTTTGCTTTCTAAATATAAATAATTTTAAAAAGAAGAAGCATTTTACCTAATTAAGACATTTTAAAAACTTTACAGGTGATTTACTTGATCCTATTAACTCTGCAAAAAGTGCTGAAAATCCTGTGGTAGGTTCAAGCTGGCATGCCCTGCTTTTCTCTTTTTCTTTTTTATCCTCACCCTAGGATATTTTGCCATTGATTTTTAGAGAGAGTGGAAGAGAGAGGGGATGACAGAAAGAAATATCAATGTGAGAGAAACACATCGATTGGTTGCATACTGCATGCGCCCTGACCAGTGCCTGGGGCCGGGGAGGAGCCTGCAACAGAGGTACACGCCCTTGACTGGAATCAAACCTGGGACCCTTTGGTCCACAGTCCAATGCTCTCTCTCTATCCACTGATCCAAACAGCTAGGGCTACTTTTCTTTACTATTCTATTTCTTACTGCACCATCCACCTGTTAGACACCTGTGCACAAATTGAGAGCTGTCCAGAATTTTAAAACTACCTGATTTTGGTAAATAACCTGGAATGTTTATTCTCTGGTTGACACTTTAGATTCTGTATGAACGGCAACTTTTTTTCATATTACTAGAAGACCCTGTTTTGGCTTTAAAAAAAGTGTGTTGATGACAAAAAAGAAACTGTACGCTTTGTAAGCCATGGAAGATTATCCAGATGGTAAATGACACTGAGTGTTTTATCAGCAGATTGCGTTTCCTCTGACCGAAGGCCAATACAAAGCACTTTGAGGATACGAGGTATGAAGCGGGGGAGGGCTGGGAAGGCAGACTGCCAGTGAGT